TATAAATTAAATAATAAATAAAAATAAACTTATTTAAATCATATAGAAATTGCAAAATTATTTTAAAGGAAATTAAAATTATTTAAATTTGTTTTAATATACAATATATTATATATTTGTCCCAACTCATGGTTTAAATTTAAATGTCTGGATAGACAGTTGATATTCAATTGAGAGTAAAGTGTTCAGGTGTTTAGATTCAATCTAAAATGGCGAAATTACTAGGAATTTTTAAAACAGTAATTTTCAAGTGAAATTATTTAAAATGAGGCAAATATTTTAGAATAGAATATTGCTGTATTTTTCTTTGCATGATAAACACATTTTTCTCAAGTTATAGTATTGGAAGGTTCGCAGAGATTGTAAAAATAAAATATCTTTGGTAGTTCTAGTATTAAAAGAATGAAATATATTGATCATTTCTAATATAAGAAGAATAAATCCCAAAATATTGTTAAATTTAAACATAACTTGACTGAAACCATGAAAATATAAAATATCGTATTTAAAAAAGGACCATTTCTGTGCATTGAAACAACAGCACCCCAAAATTCCTCTTTCCAAAATATTAAATTGGCCAAAATATAATTAAATATATTTTTAATATGAACTATAATAATTCTTTTATTTGAAACAAAAGAAGTCCTATTAAATAACATCTACATTGACCACTTTGATCAACGACAAATAAATCCAATTAAGAAGATTACGTCGTACTAAAACAAAATGGCGCCATCTACTGCAAAAATCCGACGCTACCTACTTAACCTAATATTATCAAATTTAAACATTGAAACTATAAAACACTATCTTCACAAAATTTAGCCATAAATATTCCATTTTTCAACTATCATCGTTGGTAGTTCTAGTATTAAAAGAATGAAATATATTGATCATATCTAAAATATCCGTTCCCAAAATATTATTAAATTTCAACGTAACTTAACCGAAACCATGGAAATATAAAATATCGTATTTAAAAAAGGACCATTTCTGTACACTGAAACAGCAGCACCCCAAAATTCCTCTTTCCAAAATATTAAATTGGCCAAAATATACGTAAATATATTTTTAATATAAAATATAATAATTCTTTCATTTGAAACAAAGGAATTCCTATTAAATAACATCTATATTGATCAACGACAAATAAATCCAATTAGGAAGACTACGTCGTACTAAAACAAAATGGCGCCATCTATTGCAAAAATCCGACACTACCTACTTAACCTAATATTGTCAAATTTAAACATCGAAATTATAAAACACTATCTTTGCAAAATTTAGCCGTAAATACTCCATTTTTCGACCATCATCGTTCCCAATCGATAAGACATAAGCATAGCGTCAACGACAAGAGACAGAAACTTGCTCCCGTGCTAGCGCGTTTGAAAGCGTAACTATTACTTCGTAATTGAACAAACTTTGACGTTTGTTTTTCAATTATTCACGCGACTCGTGCCGATTTTAATATGCTCGCCCGTTCCATTATTCAACCGGAGATCGCATCGTTACGATCGTCGAAAGCCGCAAATATACGTTGCAACACGACGAAAACGTCGTAACTAGAGTTTCTGAAACTTTCCAGGCTCGCGAAGTCGCCTTATGTCTCTCGTTACTCCGTGAAATTCCCGTGAAATTCCCGTGAAAACGGTGCACCTCAACTTTCCCCAACTTCTTCCTTTTTTCTGCCCCCTCGTTAGTTTCGCAAAATTCATAGCGTGACGATACTTCTTGCCTTGGAACTTCTCGAAAGTATCGATCCCTTTGTCACTTCTTAATTCGTCTTCACACTATGTATTCCTTTTTTCGCCGCCAATTTTGCTTCAGCTGCTTTCACTGAATTTTTCACGTTTCAATTTGTGGTGGAATTACCAAGGTATCTGAAAATGATTTGTCATGTTGAATAAGAATGTTTCAATTACTTTGCTACAGTGTGTTATTATTTTATGTTTTATCATTTTGGTAGAGAGAAAAAATTTACTATGGAATTATTTCTCCTTCTTTAACTCGCTATAAGTAGAATTTTATTTGGTTATGAGGTATAGTATAGTCAAATAAATATGAAGTTAGTATATTCATTTTAAATGGTGGAAAATAGTTATAGGAATTATTATGATATTTTATTTTGAAACGATATATCTAATTTTTAATGTGTAAAATATTTAACGTATTTGATATATGTTAATATACATAATAATAGATCAAACATATTTGCTATTTCTAATAAAAGTTTTCGAATATCGTGAACACCCTGTATATATGTCTATTTATTTTCTATTATACATAGAGTGAAATCTGTTGTACAATATTTTTATATATGAAGTATCTATAGAAAAATATTTTAATTAATACGTTTATACTATAGATGCTAAAATTTACTATAGTATAAATACTATATTGTCCTATGCTGTGGGAAAAATACGTACAATGTTGAAGTATAAATACTGCGCTATATTACGGTATACATATATACTACACTATATCATATTGAAAATAGTATACTATATATGGTATGAATAATGTACTATAGCTTAGTACAAATAGCATACTGTACTAAAAATCTACACTATAGTATAGATATAAATACATAGTTTATGTAGACATATAGTATAGTTTATTATTCATATCTACATAAAAATTTGCTAAACTGTACTATATAGTATAAATACTATACTCTGCTATACTATAGTGAAAATACCATACGATGTCAAATAAATACTATGCTATATTACGGTATATGCATATATTAGACCATATCATATTGAAAATAGTATGCTCTGTATGGAACAAATACTGTACTATAGCTTAGTGTATAGATAATACACTGTACCAAAGATCTACAGAGCAGTTTATTATCCATATCTATATAGAAATTGAAAAAAAAAAAAAAATCACACGTATGCATCAGCTGAACAAAATCCCTCATCGACCGTTGCCCATCCGATTTCCGCTGGACAGGCAACGTAGCTGTCGTCAACGAAACAAAATTACGCTTATCGCGGTGGATACGTAGCATGCACGTTCGCTGGGTGTAACGAAGCGATACCGAAAAAGCCTATGTCGTGGCGCGTCCTATAGACCGCGCCTTTTTGATCGACGCGGCGCGTGCATGTTAACGCGCGCTATATATGCGCGTGTAACAGAACGCATCCTTGGCCAGCCGCGACACGCGCGTCCTCTTCCCTTCAGCAGGCTAATATAAGCCCGTTTCTCGTATACGCCTATGCACGGACCTATCGCGAACGCTTCCCCGAGTGTCATATGCCTGTGAATCACGCATGGCCACCGTACAGTTTACCGCTGCAAATTTATTATGACAGCGGCTATGCTTTGTTTGATGTAGCGGGTGGCCACATAGAGGAAAGAAATTATAGAATTTTCAGTGTCTGTTCTGTCCCTATGCGAAGGTAAAATGAGTGGATGAGTGGGATTAAGATGTTTTTATCATTGTAGAGGTTAGATTGTAGTGAAGATTGTCATATTTGCGATTTGCGTTTCACAGGTAGGATTTGATGTCGAATTAAGAAGGATGGTTGTAAAAATTGTTGATGAAACGAGGTAGAGAAGTTAAAGTGAAAGAAAAGTGTGGAGGTTAATGGTTAATGATTAATGGAATGAGGAGATTTTGAGAATTAATAAGAATACATTGAGGAGAGATTGAAAATGTGAAAAGGCAAATATTACTAGGTTAAATAATTGTACTCTGTTCATTTATTGCAAGGAAATTAAATTTTGTAAGCTATTTAAGTATTTATCTGATAATCACTCCTCAAGTATAATACCTTTAGAATATTCATAGACATGTATACATCAATGATACTGTTTCCTAAATTTAATACTTCAGTAACACGTACTTGCTGTATACATTTTATTTTGCAATTTGAAGAGAATTTATTCTATAAATCAATGTAAGGTTCTAATAAATTGTAATGTTTTCCTTGATTAATTAATGTAATTGGTTAGACTAATTAGATATACCTCATGCTGTTGGAACAACCTGTAAAAAAACATGAAATTAGATAACCATAGTATGCAGTATTAAAAATTACACAAACCTATTACCTGACCTATTAATCCACCAACAATTGTTTCCTCTAATATCCAGATTCTTAAAAATTACAAAACTCTTCACTGTCTAATTTCCTAACTTAAGCCTCCATTATAAACAAATACACATTTCCAATAAAGAATGGATAAATAAAGACTTATATACACTATTAGTCCATCAATAATCATTCCCTCTGATATCCAGATTCTTAAAAATTATAAAACTCTTCACTGTCTAATTTCCTAACCTAATCCTTCACTATAAATAAATATATATTTCCAATAAAGGATGGATACATGAAGACTTACGTACACTATTAATCCATCAGTAATCATTCCCTCTAATATCCAGATTCTTAAAAATTATAAAACTCTTCACTGTCTAATTTCCTAACCTAATCCTTCACTATAAATAAATATATATTTCCAATAAAGAATGGATACATGAAGACTTACATACACTGAATGGTGAAATAATTCAAAACACAAGACGTAAAAAGCGAGAAGGACGATTTAAAAATTAATTCCGACGGATAAACTATACTCATAAGCCGGAAGAGAAAGAGATCAGCATAATAAAGTTAAATTAATCTCGAATTTGATTCGTTTAGGCCACGTG